TCTTGGAAAAATAAAGCCTATCATTTTTACTCTTACAAAACATTTTGTGCAGTTCATTTAAATCTAGAGAACCATTTTCAAACAGAGCCAGTGCAACAGAACATCATGCCATTCTTTAAGTTATTTTTGGCAAAACAGTAGATAAGAAATGTCAAACAGGATGGTGATTTTTTTTTTTTTCTGATGGTTTAAATTTTATAAAAAAATACAAGGAACTACAAAGTAATTGAAGAGGAGAAAAAAAGTTATTAAAAAAAATTGTTCTTGTCTAATTATACTTTTAACATATATTTTGAAATCACTTGTATTTTACATCTGCATTAGTGTATTTGTCACTGTACATATCACTCTGTAGATAATACTGGACTGACTGTGAAAGACAGGATGTAAAATCTATCATGAATAAATGTATTGGGCTGAAGCATCAAAAGTGATCTTGGACAATAAACTTCGTGTTCATTTTATTCAAGATCAGATATCAAAAGATTGAAGTACAAGCTGAAAAAATGAAAAAGCTAATGAAGTGTTAGACGTGAAGGAAAGTGATAAGGAAAACTCTTATTGCTGACAAAGGTTTAGATGTTCATACGCACTTACTATTTGAAATATAAAGAAATTCTCTGAGATTCTCAGCTCCTGCAGCTCTACTTAACAAAGATTTTAGTAACGCATTAGATTTAGTAAAACTGCTTCTGAGTAGCCCACAGTTTGGTCCTATGGGACAAATGAGTATCACAGAAACATATCTGATGAGGAAAGCAGGAACTGCAAATCTGTTAATGTTATGCCATGCAAACTTCCCCCACATCATGCACAAGCTTGCTTGAGAGCGTGAGATTATACAATCAGTATTGCAGTGCATTTCTCTGGTTGAGCTTCAAATACCTAAAGAAAGCTCAAGAAAGCAAGCAAGCTGGAAAACTGACTACAGTACACATGCCTCAAAACTCAAGGAGGAACCTAAAGTCTAGTAGAGCAGGCTTAGTGGGCTTGTCTGGCTAGAAAGTATTGCACTTCACAGTGATTTCACAGTTTTTTTATAGTGTAACAGTTTTGAATGGAAAACAGATTTTCCACACCTATAATTTTGTCAGTGTGCTGTGAAATGACAACAAATTACTGTGGAATTGCAAAGAGGATGGAGTTAATGGAGGAAATACTGCAGAATTAATAAAGAATGCAAGTAGGAGTGGCACAGTGGGAGGTCTTTTTTTTTTTTTTTTTTTTTTTTCTCTTATTGGGTGAAAAAGAGATCACTCATGCATGTCCCATGCTGGTTTTCAAAACACTTGAACTAAAGTCCAATTTACCTTTATGGACTAATCAGGGGAAAAGAGTGTGCAGAAAACACTCTTCAAAATGCAGCTGAGAGAGAGAACCAGATTCTTAACCAGTGGTAAAGTGTCCGTTGCAGTCGGTGGAACTCTTGTAGGGAATCTTGCCCTTTAAACTAAGTCTAACCTGATTGCCGGGTTTACACTGTAAGGTAGAGTACTTTTTCTACAAGTACTAAGGAAACTCTCAGTGGGTTCAGCATGTGCTTCGTCTCCCCTAGAACACAGAGCACCTAGCTGAAATGAACAGTGTTTGGCATTGGTGTGAGAAACTCAGTAGAGCTTGGACTGATATGTGTAAAGTCTTTCACTTGTGTGATTGGAATTAATCTGCAAACATTTTTTTTTTTTCCTTTAGTGTTGTCATTGAGGAGTTTTTCCATGGAAATCATGGTTCACAAAAAAATTATTAGTATTTTGGATTTATTTTTTTTTTAACTCATGAAAGATTTCTATACTGATTTTGATGTCAAAAACACTAGACAAAAAACACACTGTATTTCTCTCTCACAATTGAGCTTTAAGGATGGATGAGATAGTAAGAAATTCTTCTCAGCATACCCAAGACTGTAAGTTGTGTCATGCTGTGACAAACATTTTGCTTGGAAACTCATGTTAGTAACATATATCTCCAAATCTGTACAAAGTACAGAAAGAAAACACACAATAATTAGGTTAGTTTCTGTCTCATGACAAATAGCAGAACTTAATCAGGAGTCATCTATCAAAATGAATTCTTAGTATAAAATTTGTTCTCAGTAGAACTGGCAATACTGTGATTTTATTGACATTTTAAAATTCATTCCACAGCACTCTTGCTGACATACTTAGAAGGAGTCAGAAGTGCTTGGATGTACATATAAATCTTTTGCTTCTTTAGTCACTCGTGAACCTGAAAATGAGAGCCTATGGACAAATATCTATGAATTCAACCTTTGCAAATAACTGTATTTAAAATCATATCCTTATATCAGTGAAATTATTTCCATTTCTCTATTAGTTTATTGCACAATAGTTTATAAATACATTCTAGAACAGCTAGGATTTTTTCTTTGCTTGTTTACAAAATATAAATACAAAAAAAAAGTTCAAAAATTTACTCAGAAGAAAAGTTGTACTGATTTTTTTTTCCTCCAAACATTTAATTTTTGGGGAAAAACAAATAATAATTAGCATTTTCTGATGAACACACACACAAGCACACAAAGGATGGTTATGTATATAATACCAGAATAGCTCTAAAGAATGCTGCTGCTACTACTCTGAATGAGTGCATGTGAGTGTGGATGTACATGCATAAAGCAACTGGTGCACTCTGAAATCAATACAAACCATTATATTTGGCATTGAAGTACCATCAAATAACAGCCTATATCCAAAGTGGTTTTCAAAATAATGAAGCTTTTCCTGAAGTATATGGGAATGGTAATATTTGTCTGATTCTGAATAGTATATTAATCTGAATTTACTATTTGCAGTCTTAAGAACTGTGTTGCTCCTTGATCACTATGCTGTTCTTCTTCAGTAGATTTAATCGGTTTTCCAGAAATTGCAGTCTTTGTTAGAAAGGCCAGTTGTTATGAGTATAACCCTGCTGTAGAAAGCTGAATTTCCTTTGAAATAAGCATCTTGTTTTCACCTCCATGAAATTTCTGTGATTAATTTTCAGTGACTGTTTCTACAGTGAGCAACTTGTTACACACATCCATTGGCCATCTCTGTGCTCTTTACGGACCTGGAGACATGATCCACTCTCAGCAGGGGAAGGGAGATGCAGCGTCTTCTAAACTGTTTTCTTGCTTGGGACTATCAATGGATCGTGCTGTTTTTTGTGAGATGCACCACAGAGAGAATCTGCTAGTGAAGTAGGAAGGGCCAACAGTGTATTGATTTTGTTCATTATCCTAAAGATAGGCTGTAGGCTGGGCCTCCACAATGAAAATATGACCATCTGAGGTCTCCCCTTCCATTTTTGCACAGTAAAAATAGTTCTTTCAGGAACTATTCAGACAAGTTTCTACCTTGGTATAGATAAAGCATTCCTTATTTCTTATTCACAGTCTTTCCTGTCCATACCTCTCCTGCCTGCAGCAGGACTCCTCTGACATAGAAAATAGAATCCTGAAAAATTTGATTGCACAAGGTTGTTTTTCCTCAGAGCAAATGAAATATAATGTTATGCTGCAAAACTATTTCTCATGCCTTTTTACATGCTCTGGTCAGGTTCCCCACTGAATTCTGTTTCCTTTTCTGATAATTTTAGCAGAGAAAATCATATCAGATATAATCAAGGAAATCTTTCAATAGAAAGCATATTCTGTTAATTAACAGATTCATCCATGATGTAAGAAGAATTCACTTTTGTGGATATTTCTGTTCAAATTAGTGCTTTTGTGTGCTTCAGAAACATGCCACGGTTTTCATCCACCTTTTCATATTCAACTGGATATCAGCTGATTTAGCCTCTAATTTGTCTCTTTTATTGTTTTACCTTTAGATTGCCATAACGTTACATTGTAATTTGTTGAGCTTTCTCTGAGGATATCTAGAATCTCCTTTCTTTATTAAATAAACTAAAATAACCCAAACCTATTTAGATTTCCTATTAGTTTATTTATTTATTTTATTTTCCTTCTGAAATAATAGACTTAGTGTTGCCAAGTTTCCTGGAAAAGGGAGTTAAATTCATGAAAGCTCTTACTAAGTCTTTTAATTGTAGGACCTTTGTTCTCCTATATAGACAAGTAACAGTTTAGAAATACTTTCATCTTTTGCAGTAAGATGTTTTCAAACATGAGCAACATGGCTATTTTTTCTGGCAGATGATCAACAAACTTCTTCAAAGGCATTAAATCAAAACACTCTGATGAAGCTTTTGAATTTCTCTTCTGGCACAGTTCAGGCAAATAGGAACATTCAACATTCAAAACCAAGTTAAAATTCAATATGCCATTTGTTGCTCATGTGTCCAACATTTCTATAATAGATGTTCTCTCAAATACAAGCTCTTTCAAGATTTGCTCTTTCAAGATTTTTTGACTTGCTTGATTTCAGATAAATCTTAATAATTCAGTGTGGACAATTTCTTCCATATCACTCCAGTTCTTTTTTCTCTCCTGTACAAAATGATGTAGGATAAGGAGTACCAGACAGCATTATTAAAAGGAAGATTTCTTTGCATTTAAATATTGTTATACATATAAAACTTGGTTACTTTTTACCAAATAAAACAAGTACCAACCACAAATATTATACTACTCTTTCTTGCACGTGTAAGGAAGTATTCATTAAATTTCAGAGCAGAACAGGTGACAGGCTCTTTCTAAAATTCAGTGTAGTCATCTAAATATCAATTTCTCTTGATATTCATTTCTTAAAAGGAAGCTGCAGGTGCTCAGAAATGCTGAGCAAAACTTTCCTCTCTAGCTAAATTGAAGTTTAGATGGCTGACAGGTCTCCTAAATGTTAGAGTGACCCAGTCCTTTCATTATGCAGTACTACCTAATCTTACAGTTGCCTAAATTTACTATAAACATTAAACATTTTGTACTTAATATTTTCTGTTTGTTTAAGCTTTAGTACCTGTTTCTCACAGGTGTTTGGAATTCCTTATCATTCTCAATATAGCTAGGGGTCAGAGGAGTTCCCTGGTTAATCTGAGTCTCACTATAAAGGTACTCCCTTCCTTTATTCCTTTATTCATTCATTTATTTATTTTTTCTCTTTGGAAAGAGTTGAAGTGTTTACTTTGTTAAAGATATTTTAATCTCCCACAAGAACAGAATACAAAAGGTGAGAAAACCAACAGAGGATAAAAAAAAAAAAAGGCATCAATGTCAGCTATATGTCAAAGTGTCTAATTTCTATCTGAAATTAGTCTGATATATTTTTTTGACATCTTAGTCTTTATTTATATGCATCTTTCAAAAACCTGAAAAGCCTGGTAAGATTTCAAGGTTTTATTTGCAACAGTAGTGATGAGTCATAGTAGCAAGTCCTGATATAACAGTGAAAGCTTCTACAAAAACGTAGTCTCTTAACATTAACGGACATTTGAAAAATGTAGCTCAAAGTCTTCCTGGACCTCAGTACTCCATTGATAATTTAGAAATAATTCCCTACAAAGAGTCCTGGTTTAACCATTGCTTGTGAATGTCTGTGTGAAGATCTGTTTATAACCAATGCTGGAAGTTTTTTTATTATTGAGGAAAAATCTCTATGGTTCATCTTGTCCATTGAATCCTACGGGAACTTACTGTCTGTCCAGGTTTTTGGCACAGTGTCAATGGGATCAGAGGGAGATTGAAGTGTAAAATAACAGAAAGCAGGGGCTATGGAGGAGTGGAATCTATCACTTTTCTGCTTGCTGGAGAGGTTAAGGAGAGGTAGGGAGTGAACTGTGAACTGCAACCTTCAGCGGCAGCGTTCCTTCTGAATTACTCAGCCTTCCTTCCCTTTTCTCAGCAGTCCAGTGTTTTCTCCATTAACACTGTTGTGTCTTCATACCTAACACCTTTACAAAAGTATTCCAGACTTTCTCTCTTTTTTTTTTTTTTGTTGATTTTTTTGTTTTTAAACTGAATATTTCTGAATATTTTCCTTCAAGGGGAAAAAACATTTATTGATACTTGTAAGGCTATTACTTGATATGGAAATTAACACTATGGAGAATCTTATATTTAATATGTAAATACTGTTTGATCAAAATCAACGTTAAGGGAAAATATATAGAGCTAGGGAATATTTTTGTACAAACAACCAAAAAGAAAAGAAAACAACAACAAACACCAGAAAATATTAATGTTTTGTCTGGAAATTATTCTTATAAATTCTGGCACTTTTCTTGTAATAAGGTACACATTTTTAATTGTTTGGCTAAAGTAACATATTTAGCCCTGCTACACAGAATTACACCCTGATCTGTCATGTTGAGAACAAGAAAAACTTGTAACCCAAGCAGAGTATTTCAGTATTGAAATATTTATTTACCAAGGTCTCTGGGCACTAGAATTTGTTTTGTTTTGTTTTAACAATCACATGTTCCGTTACTGATTTACAGGATTAATTTTCCTTTCAAGGTTTTAAAGATCTATTTGGAAAGCTTAAAAAAGACACTTTATTTCAAATGATAGAGTTTGAGGTTTCATCATTTGAAAGAGCTCTTGTCCTGAAAAACTTACAAATTGATATAAAACCTAAAAGAGCATCCACCCCTGTATGAGCTGCCATGTGGAGAAATACATGTGCTGGGTTTCCAGAAACCAACTTTTAAACAGGTGACCTGTTAAAAGAGAAGACCTGTGAATGTCATTTTATTTATTTATTTATGTAGTTATTTTAAGTTATTTTCTGGTCACATTTCTCTATGAAAACTCAATAAAATGCATATTTCCATTCCTGGGAAGGAATGACTTATTTTATTTGCTTCTATTACAATTTAACTTCCCACAGCTATGCTGTGTCCTTCTGCTTCATGGTTTTCCTAATTCCCTGCCCTCTCAGTAGAGTTCCAATAAATGAGTCAGTTAAACTGATCACTGACTTTCAGGATACTAAATATAGACAACTTATTTATAGGCATCTTTAGAAAGTCTATGGGCCATATCTAGTTCGTTTAAGTGACTAAAGTTTTCTGGTGAGACATGGCAGCATTTCCACCTCCTGAATCTGAATGTGAACCTGTCAGGCTATATGCTAACTCAATATCAGGATGAGATCTCAGCACGTGCTTTCCTCCACCTCCATTGCTTTGGTTTCTGTGGGTAATAAACTCAAGGGCATAGCCCTGAAAGTAGTCATGGAGGGCTGTAGTCAGTCTCTAATTGATGCTGAGGGAAAGCAAAATAGGAGAAAGTGACAAAGATTCTTGTTCTTCCATGGAAGAGGAAATGAATATCTAAACCTGGCAGTGCAGACAAATGATCTGGGCTGTGACTGCCTAATGCCAAGGCCACCTAAGAGGCATGGGTGACACTGCCTGTGAATTTAAAGTTTCCCATGTGTATGATGTATATACATCATGATGTATATGTATATACATCTGAATGTGTATGTGTGTTTTTTTTTTTTTTCCTTGCACAGATGCAGAAGTGCCCAAGCTTCATAGAACTGTGGAGCTTATGCTGTCATTTGTACCAAAGCCCAGCTTTCAGAAAATATGAATACTTCTGCAAAAAAAAATGTGCTTTATATAGTACATGAAATTGTTATTGGCTATCACACATCAGATGCTTTCTCCCAGGACTATATATTTTTTTCACTGTTTTATCTCCCATACTTTGGTCACATACCACAGATCACACTGTGTTATAGTAAGACATTTTCTGTGAAAGGATGTGGGAGAGAAGATTAAAATAAGGACACAGAGTTGTATGTGGGGGATGCAGGGCAAACAGGAATTAAAATCTTGATTCCAGGATTCTGTGTGTAGTATAATAAAAGATGGCAGTCTATTGGATTAATGTGATAAGAGATGTTGAATTTAATTCCTGTAGACAGAATGAAAAGATTTCTGAAAGAATGGTTCAGTTGTAAGAGTAAGGAGCACCATTGTTCTCTTTCATAGCACAGACAGGAGCTCTTGCCATGTCACCAAGCAAAACTGCAAAATATCAAGGAAATCTTAGAAACATGCTCTGTTATTTTTTCCAAGCATAGTCCAAATGCTTCTTAAATTCTGACAGGCTTAGTGCAGTGACTGTGTCCCTGGGGAGTCTGTTCCAGTGTGTGACCAGCCTCTTGGGAAGAACCTTTTCCTAATATCCAACCTGAACCTCCCCTGTCACAGCTTGACTCCATTCTCTCAGGTCTTATTGCTGGTCAGTGAGGAGAATAGATCCGTGCCTGCACCTCTGCTCCCCCTCATGAGGAAGCTGTAGACTGCAATGAGGTCTCCCCTCAGCCTCCTCTTTTCCAGGCTGAATAGGACAAATGATCTCAGCTGCTCCTCTCCCTTGGGTCCTTCACCATCTTTGTAGCCTTTCTCTGGACACTCTCCAACAGTTTCACATCCTTTTTGTAGTTTGGTGCCCAAAACTGCACACAGTACTAGAGTTGAGGCCGTATCAGGACAATTATTTCCATCGACTGACTAGCAATGCTGTGCTTGATGCACCCCAGGGTACAGTTGGCCCTCCTGGTTGTCAGGGCACACTGCTGGCTCATATTCAAACTTGCTATTCATCAAAACCCCCAGATCCCTCTCTGTGGGGCTGACCTCTAGCATCTCGTTCCCCAGTCTGTATATACATACAGACTGGGTTGCCCCTTCTCAGTTGGAGGACCTGGCATTTACTCTTGTTAAACTTCATATGGTTGGAGATTGCCCAGCTCTCCAATTTGTTCAGATGTCTTTGCAAGACCTTTCCACCCTCAACAGAGTCAACAGCTCTTCCCAGTTTACTATCATCAACAAACTTACTCAAAACACCTTCTAGTCCTACATCCAAATCATTTATGAAAACATTGAAAAGAACTGGCTCTAAAATGGAGCCCTGGGGGATCCCAGAGATGACTGGCTGCCAGCCTGAGGTAAACCTGTTTACCATAACCCTTTGAGCCCTACCAGTCAGCCAATTGTTCACCCATCATATGATGTTTTTATCTAGCTGTACGTTGGACATTTTGTCCAGTAAGATCCTATCAGAAACCAGTATCGAAAACTTTACAGAAAGCCAAAAAATAACATCAGCTGGCTTCCCTTGATAGACTAGATGGGTGATCTTATCATAAAATGAAATTGAATTTGTTAAGCAGGATCCTTGTGAACCCATGTTAGCTGTGACCTATGATTGCATTGTCCCCTAGATGCATTTCAATAACTCCCAGGATAATCTTCTCCATAATTTTACTGGGTACTGACGTGAGGCTGACAGGCCTGTAGTTACCAGGATCTTCTTTCTCACCCAGCTTCCAGTCAATTGGGACCTTGCCAGATTCTCAAGACCATTAAAAATAGTTGAGAGAGGTCCTGCAATGATGTCAGCCAGCTCTCTGAGCACCCTGGGATGAATTCCATCAGACCCCATGGACTTGTATGGATCCAGGTGGAGCACCAAATCCAGCACACGTTCAGGGTTGGCTGGGAGTTCCCACCACCACAGTACTCCGGCTCAAGGCACTCCGGGTCCCAAAGTCCATCATCAGTGTTGAAGACAGAGGCAAAGAAGGCTTTAAATGTCTCTGCTTTGCCCATGTCCTTGTTTGTGAGGTGACTATGCCATCAAGTAATGGACATATGTTCTCTCTTTATTTTAATTGCATGTGAAATTATAGTAAATATAACAGATAATAAAGATTTTGAATTCAGAAAACTTAAACTAGCTCTTTCTGGGTTATAAGTCATGGGGGAACTCTTTCATAAGTGCTTTATGGTGAACTGGAACTGACCTCTTTTAATCTTACTGAACATAGAGGCAGGAACATTTTGGGTTCTATTTTAGGGAAAGGAGAGTGCTATTTCTTGCCTGTTCTTCAAAGGGACAGGTAGAAAAACAGTAGTCCTACTTGTTTATTTTTGGATCTGAAGATGCAAGTGCATAGTTTCTATAGATACCACTGGGTAATCCAGCAAGTATGTAGGCTGCTCTGTGTAGAGAGTTCAAATACAAGGCTGGTCAGTCTGCTCAGGAGAGCTGCAAATCTCCTTTTCATGCTGCCTCTATGACTCATGCTTTGAGCAGTGCATTTTCTACTAAGAAGTTTTCGGATATTTGTTCTGAAAGCAGCCATCTATCCTCCTAAAATTAATTTCACTCTACAAATTTCAGCATACTGAAACATATCACTATTCTTTGCTTCAAAATGAAGAGAGGATTCAAAACATTTTTATTTTTATTTTTTTACTGCTAATGTTTGAAAGAGATCATAAGAAAAATATATTATTTTTATTGATTAAAATGTTCTGCTTTTTCTTTCTTCTCCTTGATGTCATTATGTTGCTGTTGAAGTATAAGTTGGTGACTTCAGGAAAGTAGGTGACTGGAAAATGTAAGTAAGGTGATTGAAATCTAACTCACCCTGGGCTAGAAATATTTCTGAACTGATTGCAGGAAAATAAAATAAAATGCTCCATTCATGCAGAGTTTGACTAGTTTGTAAGAGGGAAACCACCATAAAATAATAATGAGTAATAAGAATGCAGAGAGCAACTCTGAAGCTGATACTTCGGTATTCTTAGTGAGACACAACTCCTTGTAAACACTGCATTTCTATTCCTGGGAAAGAAGTAGTCTACAGGCAGTTGCATTCAGTGTTGGGATGGAAGGCATGACAGTGAGGATGCTATGCTCATTTTTTCATTTTTTTTTCTGTCCAGTTTGCTCTGCATTAAAAATATATCTCTCAGATTTGCAGATTGTATACGATCTGAAATCCAAGCCAGACTCCTACCAACACTAACAACAATCACTACAGAAAGAAAATATTGGCAAATCCAATTTTCTAAGTCAGATTTTACTTGATAGTCAACAGTTGCATATAAACACATTTGAGTTCTCCAGTGATTAATTGGTCTTAGAGGTGTAAGAGTCAGAAACATTATTTTTTTTTCCTGTCAATTCAACTATAGTTAATCACAATTCGAGGTTACTTTGAAAAAGCAGAATTGGTACATTGTCTATTACAGGCATGTAATTTTAACCAATCATTTTTTATATGTAAACTTATTTTAAAATGTGGCAGAAATAATAATGATAACAATAAAAAACAGCTTAGAAAAACCACTATAAAGCAAAAGATAAAAAAGGAATCAGTCACTTTTTTTTTTTTTTAATGAACTATGTTTGGTTTGATGTTTCTCAGTTTTAAACATCAGAGATTTATTTAGTATTCCAATATATAAAAAACTGCATATGCATTTTTTCAATTAAACCAGGCTAGCGGTATTCCCTTTTTACATAATAAGATGGAAAGGCTGAGAAACTTTACTTCAAGATTAATTAGCTAATTGATCTCCATTGCCTTTTACTTCTGTCTTCCTTATTGCTTTTGCACCTTTCATGTGCAAATTTATCTCTGACATAAATACATTGACTTTCAGCCAAGTTGTATCATAGATTTGTTATATCTTTCAATTTAAAGGAGGGCTGTAAGCAGTCAGGAGTTGTATGGGATACCTTTAAGAAGCAATCAGATGTTGTAGTAAAAAAGCTGATGATTCAATAGGGGATTTTTTCTCTGTGACAGATTAAAAAAGTTCCTCAGCAATTTCCTGGCCCAATAATATTTTCCCTCAACAACTTAGTATATTCTCCCTTTTGAGTTCACCTGTAAAGATAAGCAACAGTTTTCTATGCTAATGAACCCTCAAATGTAATATGATTGTAAGACACAGACCTTTTTGTCTAAATTTCACCCTGAGTATCCTAGGGATCCAAAATCATTGAAAATGAAGACAGTGCTAAGAGACCATTCCATAGCAGAGAAATAGAGATATAGCCCTGGACATTCACTATTGGAAAGGCAGTAGGGGATCTTCCAGAGACCAAGCAGTCTTTCTTTTTGACCTTTTTAGACATGTCAGAGAAGAACAGCAGCCTGTTCCTTTACGTAATTGCTGCAGAACACCTTAGCAATGATTTATATCAACATATGGAAAAGAAAACCTTAATTTTTACAGATTATATGTTTGCCTACCACAGGTGTTTTTTTTTTGTTTTGTTTTGTTTTGTTTTTTAATGGTGGATTTGGACAATAACCCTGACTCACCCATGTCTGTGACATTTCCAAGCTTGTAAACTGTTCATGAGTTAACATCCTATTCAGTATTTGACAAACAGGGAGTCAGGGTTGACAGTTGCCATCCTTTCCGCATACTGCCTAAGGCTAGGATTTGTCTCTGGTTTCATTTATTAGTTATATAACCCACACACTATTTTTGAGCTATTAATAAATAAATTTAAAAAAAAAAAAAAAAAAAAAAAAAAGAGAGAGAGAGAGAGAAATAAGCCAATGTAGAGAAAGAGAAATCCCCATCTGGGAATTACCCACCAGGTAGCTACATGCAGTGGACTGATCTACATATGCATGTATTAATTTGCAGTTAAAATGTTCAAGTCAGGGAAAACTGAGCCAACAAAGCCTTTTAGGGTTATGTAACAATGATAAATGTACTGCAACAGTTCTGGGTGAGTACTGGGCCCCTGAGAATTATGGTCTGTTTGTCTCTTTTTTTTAACCTCTTAACCAGAAAAGCTCAGCTGCAGTGTAGCATCTGTATTTTGCAACATGATCTTGCTTATTTTTATCTTATTGCCTGAACCCTGTCCAAGTCATAAAGAGAATCTGAATCTTAGATACTATCAGCCACCACCTGACTCCTAGTATATTCTCTTACATTAGCAAGGAGTGAGGAAAGCAACAAATGTAGTACCATTAGCTCTCATTATTGAGGTAGCATCCCAGGCCAGTTTTGGGGTAGAGCAATGAGGGCAGCAGCAGGAGACATGAAGCTGAGTTAGGCAGATCAAGCAACTTCACCTATAAGTAGACAGTTTTGTTGCTCAGGGCTTCAAGTTGGGCATTACAGCTCAGATGCCACAGCAACTGTTTGAATCCACTGTGCTGGCAGCCCAGTGGCTCTGCTTCCCATCAGAGAACACAGACTGCAGTGTCAACAATAAGGAAAAAAGTGATTAAATGAGGAGGAAAACTGTACAAAATGATGTCAGAGGTTCTTCATTCCAGCACAGCTGACATGACTCAGTCCTACAGAAAGAGCTGTATCCCAGCTCTTCTCCCAGGGAGGGCCTGCAACTCTTCACTGTTCACAGGTAACATCTCACAGGTAACTACAGAAATAGTTACTGTGTTTGGAAAGTGTGAAGGATTTGCCTTATGAAAGTTTTGTACAAGTATACAGACATTCAGCTAGGTTTTGCTCCTTAAAATAAAAACTTTGATGATTTAAATTTAGTTTACCAGCTCTTTATCAGTTCTGGGGTTGAAGACACTCTAGGGAATATATAAGTCAGGCCATCAAGTTTAGTTTCTTTGTTTGTTATGAAAGAAATTAAACATAAAAGACAGAGCCAGCAAAGTAAGTCACCTTGTCTTGAAAATGCCTGTCACAGCAAGATAAAACTGAAAAACACAGACATTTCAGCTTTGTCAGCAGAGGAACCTATGCATTATCTGTTTCTGAAACTAACATTTTTTGTGCTACCTAATGATTAAACAAAGATGATGGCAGTAATAGAGCACTACTAGCAGAAAACAGTTTAAAAAATGTAGTTTCTGCAAAACTCACAGTCCCAAACTCTCTGATCATCAGTACAGACTGTTTTCAGAGAGGAATATAACACTTCACCTTGATGAAAATGTGAATCAGATTTTCAGGTTCAATTGCTCCATTATTTTGTTTTCTTTCTATCACTTCTACCTTCAGGTTACAGCTTAGATTTTCTCTCATGGATTTGTGTGTGCAATGTAATACCAGCTTTTCGAATTGACAAATGGGTTTTCTACACACTTGCATTCAGTAAGTTAACTATCCTGCTGCAGGCCTTAGTTACATTATCAGTTTTAATTTGTTTTATTTTACTTTAGTTGTCTCATTGAATGTAAGACTGAAATATTTAAGCTGCTAAATCTCACACTGTTATATGTAAACAGTTTAATCAGTCTGATATATATATCAGTATATATATGTATATATATATATCCCACACAAACAATCAAATTGGGATTGCATGGCAATTTATCAAATATTTATGTTTTCAATAAATTCAATCATGGGCATTTTTGTCGCACCAATTTTTGCCCAAATATCATGCTGTTGTGAAATATCACCAGAGCACTTTAAACAGAATTTTATTATTATTATTATTTTTTTCCCATAGGAAGACTCTTTTCTTTCCTACTCTGCCCAACATACAGGTAAGACACTTAGGATTCTGCCCACAGTTCTGCCCAGTCCTCTCTGCTCAGTAAAGGGGAAATCAATTTGAAATAGTCGATAGTAGAAAGTCCACATAGAACTGTATCTATGATTTGATTGATTCTCCTGTGTACTATTTCAATATGTCTGATTTTTCTTTAGATTTCTAAAATCCACATTCTACAGCTCTTTAGAATACATACCTGAACTGAAGATGCTTTGAAATCTAAGGAATTATCTTAAGTTTAATGACCGTTCTTTTGTGTACAACACAAGCAAGAATAAGGTTAGCTTGATCTTAGATCCTGCATTTGCAGAGAATTAATTCAATTTTATTCAGCTCAACAGAATAGTGCAACTAATTATTTCAATTCACTCTTTTATCTGAAATACAGTCTGGTGATTGGCCATGCTGTGACAAATATTTGGCAGCCCATCTGTGCCATGACCTGCAGCTCAGTATGACAATTTTAATGGTATATGGCTAAATGCACCTATCTAATTTAAATTGTTTTTCATGCCATTACTAGTCTAAACACTGCATTCTATATGTAGACTAAATAAATAAAACTTTTTTATTTTCATTTTCATTTTAAAATAACTGTCTGTAAAAATGGTGGTCTAAGGAAAGTGAGATTTTAGCCAGATGAGGCAACATGGCTCTAAGCCACATTATAATTTCTTTGTATACCTAGAGGTGGAAATCTTATGGCAATTTCCAGTCTCTTTAGAACTGCCAGTTTGATATGTATGACAAAATAATTAGTATAATTTTGTAGTGATGTTGCATACATAATTAATTATTTATTTTTAAGAAATAAAAGACAGTTCATATTCCATAAATATTTTCCCTGAGAAGATAAGCAGCCAGCATCCATCTACTATGAATATACTATGAGTATGCTGGCATCCTTCACCTGAAATCGTAATGGCTTGAAATTGGTGTAATTCTAATGGCCTGGGTTTACAGGGAAAATGAGACCTTTTTCAAAATACATATGTTGTCCACAGAAAGTTTTTAATTTCTCACAGAGATTATAAGAAAAATATTGCACAGGCAAAACACCTGAAATGTGAGATTTGGGGTGGCTGGCTTCTTCCTTCTTTTGTTTGCACTGGTTTTCAGCAGTGTTTCTGTTGTTTTGCTGTGGTCACCTCTCCAGTAAGAGCAGAAGAGAGCAGCCGAATCACAGGAATCATAAAATCCACTCAGGAGAACCAGTGGGGAAGCTCAGTCAAAGCAAAGAGTGTGAATGATAACAGAAAGAAAACAAACAGTATCTAAGATGAGGCACTACAGAAGCCAAGCAAAGTGGAAATATTTGGGATTTGTGCTGACACTTCTTGGTTTTAGTTCAGCTTCGAAAGAAAAAAAAATCTCACAAGAAAAAATAGCAACCTTAACTGAACAAAAGGAGAAAAACAATTTAACTAAAATCAATTTTACATCCAAACCTTTAGACAGGGATTTTGAACAGCCTATATTTATATATTGCATGTTCTGCAAAACAAATGTCTAATCAGTGAAGCAATCTATAGTTTTCAAATAGTTTTTCAAATAGTTTTTCTTTTGTAAGTGTCTCACTTTGTTCAGTGTAGTTCAATTTAGCAGGGACACTTCACTAAATTATCTTGTTCTGCCACATAACTCCAGTACTGGAAGAGACAAGGGACTCCAGAAATGTCATAGACATGCTTTGAAAAAACTTGCAGAAAGAAATACAAAATGGGATAAGCAAACCATAAAAACCTGCCAGACCAAAGCAGGTACCACCCTGGGCTTGTCTCAGAATCTGCATGTACACAAATAATTTAACTCTTGTTCACACTACTGAACTTAAAAAAAAAAAAAAAAAAAGCTTATAACATATCCTAGCACTGAGTCTCATGCAATTTTCCAGATCAGAAGATACATGACACAATTAAACATGCATGCAGGTATATTTTAGTTATTCATGAATAGCTATGCAGCAAGATTAATTTAAAACCTCCACTGCTTTCTCTCAACAGATCTCAACAAAGTACTGGGAAAGGATTTGACAAGAAGTAGGAACAGACTTTTCTCAAGACAATGCAGCTATAAACAAGAGTCAGGAAAACAGATTAATTTGGTGGTCAGATAATCTTTGAAAATCCTTGGATTGACTATGGTGTATATCTGACTATGTACTGGCATTTGGAAAAGAAATTGGAAAATTAGATTTTGGCTACAGTATTTGTTTCTTTCTGTTTTTCCTTTAGTCTAAACACACAAATCCATATAGTGCAGTAGAAATTTAGCAGTCATATTATGTAGTTATCAACACCAGAAAACTTTTTATGATGATGGTACAGCTTAAAAAAATAATCAAAATCTACCAACACTTCCTTGCAGTGGATTGTATATTCTAAATGTAGCTGGTTCTCTGATGCCACACCTTGAAGCTGTGAATAAACCCTGATACTTACAAACAGCAGACTAGATTTAAGCTTTTTGGTAGAAATAATGAGCTAAACTTATCTTCCTTAAAATACTCTACGAAAAACAATTTTGTCACAAGAGCCTGCCTATGTAGGCTTTGCCCTCAATAAAGTCCTGATGCCTGTGGCTACAGATTCACAGCACCTAATTTTGGAATGAAAGGATGGGAGTATCAGGACACTGCTTTCAAACAGAGTATCAAGGGTTTATTTTTCCCAGCACTATGAGGCACAGGTCTTCTTGATAGTCTCTTCTGGTGCCTGAGAAACACAAGAGAAGTTTTCACAGAATGGCCAAGATTTGAAGGGACCTCTAAAGAGAGGTCCCTTCAAACCTTTGCACAGGATGGCATCCAGGGAGGTTTTGAATATTTCCAGAGAAGGAGACTCCACAGCCTGTTCTAGTTCAACTAGGTCAACCTGTTCTAGTCCTCTGTCACCCTCACAGTAAAGTGCCCTCTCATTTTCAGCTGGAACTTCCTGTGTTTCAGTTTGTGCCCGTTGCCTTTAATTCTGTTGCTAGGCACAACTGAAAAGAGTCTGGTTCCTCTTGACACCCTCCCTACAGATATCTATACGTGTATTGATGAGATGAATATCATGCCTTACCTACCCAGGGCAGTAAATTGTCTTCTCCATACACAACCACATGGTAGATATTAAAGACAAAACCAGCTCAGAGAGATTTAATTGACACTTGCAGAGCTGAGGGTTGCTGACCAAAGGTGATGGGTGGCCATGGCAAAGCTAGACCTCCTTTGGAAAAAAAAAAAAAAAAAAAAAAAGGAGCTGAGACAAAACTGCAAAACTGTATTCTGAACTTTGTTTCTTGTTCCTCATTATGCAAGAGGAACAGTGGAACAGTGAGAGATGATCCCCAGCCACTAAAGATGACTTCCAAGTTGTACATTCTCATTTAGGAATAATAGCACAATCCTTTCCCCAGCATCAGGTTCTTATTTAGCTTTCCAAGGCTTTAGCTGAAACAAAAATGGAGTGTCAAAATGGCAGCTGAGCCTGCTTTCTAATAGACGATGCTTGATAATGTCTGTTTTGCCTGTGCCTAAAGACTGAACAGACAATCAAAATGGTGCATAGGAACAAAAGTGCTACCTCAGGCTGCCTGCACTCTGTGCTCTTCTTCCATTTCTCATGCCATGGATGAGCACCACAACATGGAAAGCCTTCTTGCATACAAACACACTTCAACAGTGAGGATTGCCTTGATAGAATTCCCTTCAGGGTCACACAAACAAGGAGATGCTGTCTTTCCATTGATCCTAAGCAAAGGTATAATAAGGTTGGAGGATCTAGTTCTTTACATTGTAAAGCCTTTTCAAGTGCTGACTTTGATATATCTGTGCTCTCTGTAGTTGTGTGTGGATTTGTCGTTCTCTACAAATAATAATAGAATATGGCAGTACAAATATTTGATTAATTTTGCATTCAGTGTGATTTAAGGGCACCATTACATACTCAGATGTTAATTCTGCACACTGGTTTTTTTTTGTTTTGTTTTGTTTTTTATTATTATTATTTATTTATTAGAATTTGCCAGCTGTAATGCACTAGAAACAATCATTCCAGAAATGTATATAGGCTATATGTTCTAAATCAAAGTGAATTTTAGCTTATCTATAAGGCAACACATTAATTATACTGAGTACCATTTTAAATTTAGTATCATTTTTCAATTATTTTATAATATTATTTCGCATTAATTCCTTTTCTAATTTGCAAGAGCTATGTTTTTGCAATACTTAGGTTTAGCAAATGTTGATTTCTCAAAGTTGCTTCAAGTGACTGTTGATGTTATCCTAGGCAGGTACATGTATTCTGAATAAAACACAAGGAAGGAGGAATGAGTTTCACCTTCCTCAGGAACCAAGAATTTCAAGCATTTGTTCTGATTTTTGGCTGTTATTGGTAGCTAAGCTCCAATATTTTCTTCTTTGTCTACTTGTCTACTTAAGTGTCCAGAGTAAACACAGCATGATAAAAATTAATATATTGTGAGTTTGGAAAAAGTAACACTCCTCACTTTTCATTATCACTTTTGTTATCATGCCAATGCCGTGATGTATCTGCATTTGATAATTATGTAATTACAAATATATATTTTTTTATTTATATATTGCCAATAAGTGTGGTAAAATCCAATGGTTATCTTTCCCATTTTCAATAATTCATCTGACATTGTAGAAGATCCTGTACTTGTTTGAATTGTTCTTGGTTGGATTTTTCTCAACTCTATATCCAACAGATCAAAGCTAAACTGATTTCTGCAAGCCATGTGATCAGAATAAGCTATGAAAAGATAATATAGATATATTTTAAAAAGCAATGACTTTTTCAAAGGCAGAAAATTAAAATAAATAAATAAATAAAATATCCTATTCATAATTTAGTCTTAGACTGATCCCTGAACCTAGGAAGGGACCTATGCCCTTGGTTCTTCAGATTTTGCTTTTGCTTTACTTGTCTCCCTTGAGCTCAAAGAAGATGTTACCTAAACATTTCTTGCAGCTTTCTCATACAGTTGGTTTCTCTTCCACCTCCTGGAACAGAAAGGCATGCCAGCTCTGGTGTGCCTGTTGGAATTGCATGGATGTGGGTTTCAATTCCTATTCTGGCTTTCTTGGATTTTAATTGCCCTCATGAAAATTCTTGCAGCACTTTATTATTGGTTGGGCAACACATAACTACTAATTTAAAATAATTGTACGAATTATCAGCTTGTTGTAGTCAGTGGAGCTGAGAATTTAAGGTCAAATTATTCATAGAAATAGGTCTCAGTAGAGCTACATTAGGAGGGGATTTGTCTTTTGGTTTGCAGGTAATGTGGTATTTCTGTGAACTTTATAATTGAAGAGGATGCGAACTTGTTACTAAATCACTCGATAGACAAAGTTGCTGTACAAATGCTAATGACTTCATCTCTCTTACCTCTAGCAGAAAAACACTAATGTCTTCTTTTTTATTGTCATAAAACAAAGGTTCCATGAAACTGTCTGATGGTTATGGACTGCAATAAATTTGAGTATACATGGAGATATTGTGTATCCTTTAACTTAATATCCATTAAGCTTCTGGTGCAAATTGCATTCCCTATATTTCTCTCCCCACCACTCCTTTGGTATGTATGTGTTATAGTTAAAAATTAGGCAAGCCATTGAAATGATGGTCATGGCTTTGTGAGAAATTTGTCATGCCAAGGTGTGAAGACTCATCTGATAACTTAATGATGAATTCCCTGTGGGCTATTCTCTTCCCCTCTATCCCAAGAGATCTTGATCTTTCATTTTCAAAGATGCAGTATTTTTGTTAAATGTGTAATTAATCAGGGAACACAATGTAATTGAAATACTAATTACAGTTGCTTATTCAGGTACAACATTTCTGCTACAATATTAGTTGCTTAAATAATTTTGTGACTGTGGATTTTGAATCTATATTAATCCAATTACCTGGAATCAGTTGCAAAATAATTTGATATGGACAGTCTCCTAAGCCAAAGCAAATTACAATTAAGGTTAGTGAAACTTCTGAAGGCAAAGGAGCCTTGGAGACACTATAGCAAATTACAACCCAGTTGTATCTGGATTCATGATTTTTCTCCTTGATTTTTAAAATGAGTGTTTCACTTTTTTTTTTTTTTTTTTTTTTTTAATCCACCCTTCTTTTCATCTGGGACTTGCACATTTGATTTAAATGTTCTGAGATAACCCTCCATGTTGCAGTGTGTAAGATGACCTGAGTCTGATGTCATTACCATATTCTTTATGATAGTTTCTCTGAAAATAATGATTGCTGTTATTTTTTGAGCCTGCTATTTATCCCGTGACATGTTTCTGTATGTCTGTGGGTATTTCTTGTGCTGAGGTGCTCGGAAAGTGATGTGGGTTTTGAAAGAGGGAAGGAAAATTGGAGTGTGCCATTAAATTCTTATGTTGGACACAATGTGTGTGATATTGCCAGCATAAATGGATAGAATGTATAAGCCCGTGGTGATCATGAAACCTCTTTTCCTTCCAAATCCACCCTTTGGTGGAAATGAGCCCTCTTATATTATGTGCAAATGACCCCTTCTGGAGCACACTTGGCATGGCCCTGCCACATAAACAGCAGCTTTGCCAAACCCACTGCTTTTAAACAGTTCCCCTTCACATTGGCATGTATAAAAACAGGGAGGAGAAGAACCCTTAAGTGCACTCATGACTAAAATAAAATCAAGCTGTACCACTGAAAGTAGTTCTCTTGTGGATTACTCCCAGGTAGCTTTTTTCCACCAATGCATTTCTGTGAAGCTCATTTCTTGGCTTACCCACACACCATCTGCCTACTGCTATAGTTGTTTTATGATTATACAGTTCCAGCTCACATGCTGACTGGACAAGAAAGGAAAACAAAACAGTTTAAAAATCTGCGTGATACATTCAGTCCAATGTATTTCTAGTCTGAATATAATATGTTTGTTGGATTAGTTGCTTGAGTATTTTTTTGTTTGTTTTTTACACGTCATAGTGGAATATTGATCTAGGAATTTCAGGTATCCCCAGTTCTACCTGTCTTTGTTTTTAAAAGACAAGATAAGAATATATTCCAGCTTTAAGAGTAGGATGGATTTTAACCCTGAGAGTGAGCAAAATCTGATAGGGAAATTAATGGCAAAAATTAAAAATTAAAAAAAAAAAAAAAAAAAGGTCAATAGAGTTTGAATACTAATGCATGAGATATAGTTCAGCTACAATAAACAAAATGTTCTCTCAGTGGCAAGTTGTTAGTGATGATAATTTGACATTATAATGTAACGTCCTTTTTTTTGACATTATAATGTAACGTCCTTTTTCTCACAGGACGTCATATCACACTGAATATTAACTGCTGAAATATTTCATACCCTTGCAGTAAATTAACTAAAATACACTTTCCTTTGCCCATTTTTCAACTGGAGAAAATATGTCTGATTTTTCTGTAGAGTAGAATACCGTAATTTCCAAAGGCCTAGTACATCTTAATGGTGACACTGAAAGACTGAGATCCAAATCTAGAATGAAGATTTTCTGGGCATATAGCTCATGTGTTGATAGAGGTTGCTTTACATTTTTCTCCATTCTGAATACAGTAGTTCTCTGTGACGTGTAAGTCCATGATTCTTTAACGTGGACTTTATTCTTTATCCCACTAAGATATTAATCAACAATACTGAGCAATGAGCTACCTTCTGTCTTTTCTTAAAGAAATATGAACCTCAAGGCTTTCTGATGACAAGAAATTGTCTGAGAGTTATTTTGCTCATCACTGACACAGGTTGCGTACAAGAAAAATTCTTTTACTCCCAGCTCTCATTTTCAAGTCCAGTCAGGGCTTCTGGGCTCATCTGGTGGGGAAGTCTAGTGATATTGAAATAGGTTTATTCCCAGCTGGCAATAACAACTTGTGGATGTGTTTCATAGCAATGTTGTTGTTTAGCCTGTTGGACTGTTTTAATCTTAATGAATTTTTAATATTTAATGGTACTCTCTCTTCTCAGTGTGAATGCATTTGAACATGTGGTATCTGTACAAGTCTCTTTGTTGTTGCTGATATATGTTCTTGGAAGTCAACCTTAAAAATCCTATGAGGCTAGCTCTTAAAACACGCAAGAAACAATGATGTTTGGAGTTATTATTTAAATTATGACTATGAAAGCTATAGTACAATTGTTCCAACAAATTCCAGATTGTTTGTAATCAACTTAAAGTTAAAAGGACATTTTATAGATTTATTTGGCTGAATTAGGAATTGATGTTTTAATATGTTTAAAAATTATAACAGTAAGATGTTTAGTAATGTAATGTGAAAGAAAGACAGTTTACGATGCCACAACTATTCAAATAAATATAGAAACAATCATCAAGCTCTTCTGCCTCACCTCCCTCCCCCCAGATAAATACATAAATAAAAAGATTAAAAAAAAAAAAAAAAAAAAAAAAGCCTTAAGGGAAGCAGAGGATGTTGTGTTAAGCTTAGATTATTAGCTCAATGAGTCAGTATCATTTGCAGGTAGATGACAGGTAAGGAATCCTGTTTAAGCCAGTAGTATCAATAACAACTCTAATTTTATTCAGAACATAAGAAGTCAAATTTAGAATTTTTTGTAAAAATTTTAAAAATTAAAAAGTTATCTCTTAGGGGCATATGCAATTCTATTCTCTCTTCATATAATGCAATACTTACAGAATGTCTTCATTGTAAGGATATTAATTACTATTATATTCCTCTGAACCCTGATTGTAAAAAAAAAATAATCTTGTTGATAGCCATGATTTCGTGATCTCTCTAATTTGTAGAGAGATTTTCTATTTCCAATCCTCCACCTGGTTAAATAGACGTAACTGCAAGAAAAAAAGTTTTATAAACAGGGTAGAAAGAAGGGTATAATGGAAGTCGTATTTTGACATACAAATACAATGGACAGAACATTTCAGAAGTAAATTTTATTTCAGCATTCTAAACAAATATTTTCAGAAGAGTTACAAGATTACAAGATGACCTTTAAACAAACAAAAGACGTTATTATCTTTTGATTCAAAACATGCAAAATTTTATTTATTTTATTTTGCTGGTAGGTAGTGCTGCTTATTCATAAGTTTTTAGTTCTGTATTTATAATGCTTAACAAGTCTAAATCATGCTCATTAAACAGTCCTCTTCTGCATAAGACAGGCATCAGGAAAGCATTTTTGAAATCTGTTAAATTTTATCTGAGAGGAATTAAAGGTCATCAGGGTACCTCATAAGGGTAAATTTGAAACAAATCTCCAGCGAGCACAGTGTAATGAACTCACTCCTATAATGGAGTAGTATTATACCTTTTATATATTTGTACTATAGTACAAATGTAGTTATGTATTCGTATTATAGTTTCTTTGCATATGGTTGTGAAATCAAAGGAACAGTGCCTCTTGCTTGATGAGAAGGCAGTGCTTGCTTTGAAAACTGTTCTTATGTTCTGTGAAATGCAGCTCCATGAGCTTCACAATAGTTTTTAAGTTACAATTTTGTAAATAATGCACCTCAATAAACACACTTAAGAAGTTAATAGTCTATGACATTGCTTAGAGTATGCATTCATTTTCTTGGCTTGCAAATTATGTCTTCTATTTTCTATATTTAAAGAAAGCACTTGTAACTGCCATTACTGAAGTTCAGGTTAAAATTTCCAACCAATAAAGCAATTTTATCAATTTTTATTGTCACCATTTATTTATTTATTTTCCCCTATAGAACTAATTCATTATGTCTCCTTAAAACAAAAGCAACCATGTTTTGACAGGTGTCATCCTGTCTCTGCCATGTTTCCTTCCCCTCACCCTCCCCTTTATTTTCTTTCATTATAGATCATTCATTCTGCTTAAAATAATATGTCTGTTATTATTTTGGAAAGTAACTTCCTATTTGTAACATCATCCTTTCTGTAAGTGCTTCACTGG